TTTTTCTACAGAATTGTAGTAGGTCTTCATACAAAATGGTGTGTACAGTCTTTACTTATTTCCTTCAATAAAACTGTGACGTTGGCGGCTCTCTTTACCCCGGAGAAAGCTGTGGACAGCTTGTCGCTCATAGTCTTGTCCTGAAGAATTATCATTACCTGACTTCTTTATTGCGTTTAGTGTTCTCACGTTTTAAATTAATTGTGGGGAATTTCTATGATCGGGATATAATTGGTAATATCCTCACGCGATATCCTACATATCCTAACTGCCACCAGGGGGAGCCTGCGCCTTTCCAGTTACTCCAAAATGCTAAACCTGTCACCACGGCTGAAGGCTCGGCTTTCAGAGTTAAATCAATCGGATGTGTGGAAATACTATGGATTCCAACGCAGATGCCACCTTCAGAAACTACCGGAGGAAGGTGTCTGCCCCGCGGTCCGACCGGGTCCAACACCTCCAGATTTGAACTCCCGTCTCCTTGACAAGCATTTAGCTCTGTTCGCCGAGCTCCAGGTAAAATTAACTGACTTTACTGTAAGTTACCGTTACCTAGCGTAACGTACGTAAGAGTTGGTTAAGTTATACTAACGCTGATGTCCGTTACGCCTCGATGCTTTACGTTGTGAACGCTAAGACGCTTTTGGTTACCAGTGAATTAAGCTAGTGTTATCTAGCTAACGTTAGCTATATAGCTGAATAGCTCATTTGTTTCACCTTACACCACTGTCTCTGGCGAATTGTCTGCAGTTTACTACAAATTTTCCTTTAACGTTAACCGTGACATTAATTTAAGGAATAAATAATAGTTGAAATCAATTAGAATTTACTTTATTTGACAGAAAATGTCGTTGCATGTAAATTTAACAGTGAGCATGTTCACGATAGCAATAAGCAGATATAACCTATTAGCATAACCACTGTCAGTTTAGCATGTTAACATGCTAATATTTGCTAATCAGCGGTACAAAGTACAGCTGAGGCTGAAGGGAATGTTATTAGTTTTGCAATTTGAAATTTAGACCTGATGATGGTGCTAGATAAAAAGTAAATGGAAGATCAAAGTTATTACAAATGTGCCCTGTGGGAAACATGAATCAAAACTGAATGGAGCTCCATCTAATAGTTATTGAGACATTTCACCCAAAGCCAAAACAAAAGTGTCAACTTCATGGCAATCATTTTAGTAGCTGAGATATATCAGTTTGCACCAAAGACGTGGACCAGCCAACTGACTGAACACTGCCACATAAAGAGCCATGATGCGAGCTCGACAGAATAATAAAAAAGGGGATCTGATCCTCAGAGATGAAAGATATTTCCAAAAAAAATCCACTAGCTCTGCTAAATGACAAAATCATATGATAATATAATATATATATCGTAATCCATTTGCTGGTGCACAAGTGACAACAAAGAAAAAGGTGCAGCCCAATATTGTGCTCTAACAAATTAAATTACAGTGAACATAATTGATGGTGTCCACAAGTGGGATTTTGTGTTCCACAACAAGAATCAGCCATTAGGGCTGCACAATTAATCAAAAATATAATCAATATCAAATAGGAGGAGCTGGAAAAAATCACAGGAGCTGCAAATTTTTGATAAAGGTAAAATGTATCACAACATTTTTTGTGCATTGTGAGCACCATAAGCGTTGTGGTGCGACAGAGACCACCCGGCCTACAAATTATATTCTCCAGGCGTAAGGGAATATGCTTGTTTGGTACAAGACCCAACAGAAATCACAGCATCATCATTTTAGAAAAAATTCACTGAAAATAAAATGTAAAAACTGTAATTCCAACTGAAATCATGACCCATATCCAAATATCTCCCAAAATAATCGCAATATGATTTTTTTTTTTGCATTTCGTGCTGTCTTTTAAGCCACCTAATGGCCACGACACTCTGCAGCTACTCCATCATAAAAGCCTTCAAACAGAGTTTCCACCCAAATACAGGTGAAGGCTTTTTGAAGGTAAACAGTGAAGGCATTACTGAACATTACAAACCTCCCAGTGACTTCTAATGCATTCTGAATTTGTACTATTTCTCTATTTCGCCACCCGAGTGTCGCAATTATGGCCTCAGATCTAATCAAGCAAATAGTTTTTGACCTATGCTCTTCTGTAGTATATACACTTATGCACCTTCTCCTGTTTAAACATGCTGTCAATTATTGCAAGAAAATAAAGGCGGAGCAAGCTCAGCATTTTTCCAGTAAAAGACCCATAAA